GCAATGTGGCTATGGGATGTATGGACACCCCTTCGCTCTCAAATGCCTTCCTTGTAGCGAGGGGTGCGCTACATGTAGAGGCTCGGAAGAGAATGACTGCACATCTTGTCACCTCCGGACACACTTCTTTGTTCTTACTGGGTATAACCGTGGCCAATGCATCGAATGTGGAGACACAACCAATCCTAAAGGGATTAATGGTTGTAGAGAATGTAGCGCGAAAGGTGACTCGGTTAGATGCATCGCTTGCAAAGCTGGCTATGTATTAGTTGGTGGCAAGTGCCTGTCCCACTGTGAGGACCCCAATTGCGCGGCGGGTTCGTGCGTGGTGGGAATAGGCGAGAAGCTGTACTGTAGCTTGTGCAAAACAGATGAACACGCGCCTGTGGACGGCATTTGCACTAACGTGGCAAGCGCACACCCCAGTGGCTGCGTGACTGGCGTAGGTTTTGACTCAGCGCGGAGCTGTCTTCAGTGTGGTGCGGGGTATTTCCTGTACATGGGCGGCTGCTACCAGGAGAGCAAGGAGCCCGGAAAAAGCATCTGTACCTGGGCAGGTGTTCCTGGTTACGTTAATGGAAACAACTACGGTCTTGGTCTTTGCAATGCATGTGCCGCCGGCTATGAGAACCAAGACGGCGTCTGCCGCCCCTGTACCACGGTGAACTGCGAGCGGTGCAGGATGGATGACCAGGGGGAGGTGTGCACACACTGCATGGTCGGGTACGTTCTGGATCAGGCAGGCACATGCACCACCAAGACCATGGGTTCATGCACGGTCCCAGATTGCGCCGAGTGTACTGAGGGCAAGAAGTGTCGGCGTTGTGGACCCGGGTTCTTCCTCACCAGTGTGGGGACCTGCGTGGACAACTGCAGAAGCATTCCCGGGCACTACGCACTTGATGCCACGGAGAAGAGCCCCGCAAGGTGCGCTCTGTGTGAGATCTCGAACTGCAAAGAGTGTGGAGCCGGTAATTTTTGCGCTGTGTGCTCGGACGGGTACTTCTCCGACAACGGAGTCTGCACTCCTTGCGACAGCACGTGCGCCACCTGCGTAGCTAAGGGCCCCAGTAGCTGCGTGTCTTGCCCGTCGGGCTACGCGGTAACGTCTGAATCGGGGGTCGGGGAGTGCAAGAAACCGTGTACCCCGTCAGCCGACGGCTGCAAGAGGTGCGACGCGAGCATCGACGGGGCAAGCTACTGCTCTGTATGCAGCGTGCAGACCGCGTTCCCTCTGAACGGCAAATGCGTCGGGCCCTCCGCACGGGCAGGGTCTGCGTGCGTCTCTGTGGTCGACGGCGCCTGCACGAGTTGTGCAGACGGATACTTCCTCCTGTCGGGAGGATGCTACCAGGTGGACACATATCCTGGACGCACCGTCTGCCATGCAGAGGAGAGGGGCGTGTGCACCAAGGGCGCGCACGGAAAGATGGTCAGCGAGTCGGGCATCCTTCAAGAGTGCTCGATCGCAAACTGCGCCGAATGCACGGCCGACGCCTGTGTGAGGTGCAAGCTGGGGTATGTGAGCGTGGACGGCCAGTGCCAGAAATGCGCCCAGGGCTGCGTCACCTGCATTGCCCCGGACAATCCGCAGATGTGCACCCTCTGTGACACAGGGTACTACCAGTCGACAACTGGATCGGCGTTCACATGCACAGCGTGCGGTGCGGACAACAACGGCATGAAAGGGGTCAACGGATGCACTTGCTGCATGCCTCCTGAGGGCAAGGTCGGATCCGTCCTCTGCTACTCCTTTGATGCGCTCCCGAGCATCATTCCGACGCCCAAGCCCGGCCCAGATCCAGTCCCAGATCCGGTTCCAGCCCCAGCCCCGAGCTCGGCAAGGAAGACGGCCATGATAGCCGGGGTATCCGTAACAGCAATCCTCCTTGTCACAGGCCTGGTCAGTTTTCTCCTGTGGTGGTTCCTGTGCAAGCGCACATAATTTTGCAGGATGAAGTAAATTGCCGTGAAGTATGACCTTAGTTTTACTTCGTCTCGCGTGACGGGCTCTCCGGCTGCGGCTCAGGCTTAGATCTATAACTCCAGGCGCCTGTGGCTAGAACACCGTGAAAGAATCCGTTGATCGGCTTATACAGTAGATTATATCATCACTGGCACCGTGAGCCTAAACAGCATGGCTTTTGCTCTGGTTCGCGCCAGCCTACCATAGACGATTTACATATGTATGATCATCACATAGAATTCCGCGCCAGAAGCCATCTAGCTTGGAGTTCAGCGATGGGTTTCTATGGTTTCAAGGAAAGGTAAAGCACCTTATGCATCCAAGAAAATTCTGAGCAAGATCACTACAATTGAAGTCGCTATAGCTTCTTTTACAGTTATCTTACCAATAGCTGGTGTCCGACTCCCCACACAAGTGGCCTGTCTCTTTAAATGCGTAGAAGGTTGAAATAGCTAACTCGCAAGGACGATTTCTACAAGCTCTTGAAACTATGTGTTGTGATAAATCTCTGGTGTATGCTCTGTCTGTCCTATCGATGTATGTGATACAGAGCTGGAGTTCGGCCTATGTCACGTCGAAGACATAGTCACTTCCACGAACACAGTAAGGGAATGGAGGGACTTTCGCTATGTCAAGCTTCTTGGACTGGCAATCAATTCAGCAGATAAAACATTCGAAGATATTATTATCTATCTTTCCAGGCCCTTTTACCCCACAAGCATCCACCTCGAGTCTATGTTGTTTCCACACCAGGTATTTGCTAAGCAAGGCTAACGTGCACTCTCAACTGCTACGGAAGCATTCCTTATTGTGCCAGTCAGGCCCCTCAATGAATGTGCAGATAAATGGTAGATGATATGAGCAGGCGTTGCTTAGATAGTTAAACTGGAGCCCATCTAGTATCGGGACACGGTCAAGATAACGATATTCCAAAGCACCCTGTTACCAGGGGCCCTGTGACATAGCATACGGTTCCTTCTGCTGCACCATAGTACAATGGCTGTAATCTAAAAAACCATGAAGTAAGATGCTGAATTGTAAAGTGACCTTGACTTTAGAAACCACAGACGGAGCACAGTTCTCTTCGTATAAGTGAGGCGACAGAGCAGAGCGAACGCCTATTGATGGAGGCCATTCACCTTGGCATGGACAATGAATTTGTTGTTCAACACACCATGACGCTACCTTATAGCTTAAATATACGTATCAACAGACTTTTGTGATGACCAGATAAACATAGAGCAAACAAGTGTGGTATTAGAAGAAGTCCCGGTGCCTTCCCTTGTAGCAAATCACTAACAGAGAACGTTAACCGGGGTTCAATACCAAAAACAGGAGCTGTCATATCGCTTGTAGTCGTTGCCCTCTTCCTTTAGCTAGGTAGTTAGCAAGAGTGCCGACACTTTTCTTAAAAGCTGCGTCAATCTCACACAGATACAGCCTTTGACTCGAAGATGCCTTGATGCTACATCTTAGTACACATGTTCACAGGTCCGTCCAGATGTTGCGACCTAAAGAGACGTAAAAGGGGCCATGCTTAAGCGTCACATGAGGTACAGTATGTCATGCTAGAAAAGAACCTTGCATATTGAATTGCCAGAGCCCGCTTACAGACGTAAGCCAAGAGTCCTAAGGATAAACACGCTTTATCTACCGATATATCCGAAGACAGAGATAGGTCGGTGATTAAGCTGTGGGACTCCTCGCCAATTTATGCCCTGGTTCTAATGGGTCTTCTTGGAGCTTCAGACAGTACCTTCGTCCCCCACACTATGCGTCTCTATCGTTATTCAGTCGTGTATCCTTCTCGTCATCTCAGGGTGGCCTTCGGCTATAATTTGTTCGTGACTAGTCTTTTTCTTAATCATTTTAGCTTGACTTGGGAAAAGCACCACCGCCAATTAGAAGTAGGTTGACAACAATAATCGTACTGAGTGGCCACATTCCCAAAGCTTCGTTTGATCAACGCTGCCGTGTCTGCTAGCTTGGCTGTCATATAGGTATTAACACAATCTCAAGAGTGACAGTTTTTCAATGCTTGCTAGAGCCCTCTGAAGTGCTTCTGCAATCTGAAAGCGAGGAAAACTGTTTGCTCTGTAGATAACTGGGAGCATGTTGTTCATACCTCCTCAGCTCTTATCGCAATAATCCACCTGATGAATGATGATGACTATGTCTACTACCCTACACTAGTTGACAAGTGTGTGTCTGACTCCCAGCTCTTGGTGAGTTTCCTCTTTAGACAAAGAACAGACACCAACAATCATGCCGTGATAGATCGTCCTAACCTGCAGTACTTAGACACACTCATAGTTTGCGCCGCGCTAGAGCCGTTCTTCTTTGCTGGACCCTTCCTCGATAACATTCTACACAGTTGTGGCCAGGGCGCTCGCTCTCTGCTCGAGAACTTGTACAGGCGGGAAATCTACTGGAAGATACCAGCTCCGCCCGGGGCGATGGTCTCTAATCCACATACCGACCTGCCTTCGTCATAGGACAAACGATAAATGGAGCAGGCTTGCCTGCACGAGCTTCGGTCCACACTCGTATACAGGAGTTGTAACACTACAAGGCCGGAAGCAACAGACAGATGGACGAATCATCGACGGGGTCATCTGCCTTTACTCTACGACCAAACGATAACAGGGGAGCTGTATGCCGAACATGCAGGGACTGTTGCTTTTTGGGTACACAGTCCAATGCTCGGAGAGTGCGGTGATGTCTAGGGAGCTCTTGCAGGCTTCTTGCTCGAAGGACATGGGCACATGCACAGTTCATGCAGGCGGACGATGGAATCTGTCTAGCTTTCCTTGCTTGTGCAGACTCGCCGGGCAGAAAGCGCGCATCCATATGCAGGCAGCCCGGGGCACGCGTAGACACCGGTCCTAGCATGTTCTGGCTAGACCTCAGGAGGCGGACATCCGCTACTTGCCACAGGGCATCCTTGATAGGGGAGCCGAGAACGTTGCCTGTGTGCGACGGGCCCGAGCGTTACAGACATCGCAGCCGGTCTGGACCCAGAGACCAGCACTACCTATGCACAGTTGTGCATGAAGTGTTCGTATATGTTCCTCGCCGAGTCCCAAGAAAATGAATAATCAGGTAAGCCCAATTCTCTTAACAAGTAAGGAGTTATGATGCTATACTTATGATCGTAAAAGCGGCCTATAGGAGAAACTACTGACAGGATATTTATACCTCTTTGTTTGAGGTTTGTTATATCATCTACTGAAAATAACAAAAGAGCATCCCTAGACATAATTAGCCATATAAGGATTTTACGATTCAGAGTCTCATTGATATTATCGTCAGCTGATAACAAAATCTGTGGTGCGTATAAGAATCTATATCCTGGTTTCAATCTAAGGTTCAAAATTATCTGCCTCTGTCCTACCATAAGATACTGTTGCAAAAAGTTTGAGAGGGCATGTGCTGTAAGGCCCCCAAACATATTCTCAGAGATATCTATGTACCAAAGATCGGTGCATTCCAGCAGACTAGGGAGGCTCTCAAGAATATGTGCACAGGTCTTATCGGAAAGAGAGCAATCAGAGAGAATTAATGCATGTAATGTTGTAAGTAGTGAAAGTGTCCTGATAAGCCCTTGAACATCGGCCTTTGTAAACGAGTTATGACTGAAATCAATGTGCAGAAGCTGTGGATTGAAAGCTGCAAAATCCTTCTCATACACTAGTTCAAGGAATGATTCAAGTGTTAGGGATCTATAGTTCGCCTCTTGTAGATATAGTCTACCGGATTCATAATTGTAACGTCCAGTGCGTACGATCTCAGTCCTTACCAAGATGGCTGCTCGAGTGGATAGGCTGGTTTTGATCATATCCTTCATTGTATTTCCTAGTATAGAGCTGTCCGTGTACTTCCAAAGACTAATACTTACTGGCTTCAGAATAGCACCGGGTGAGATGGATTGTCTAAAACTAATGGACTTTAATGGAGAGTAGAAAACTTTACCAAGGATTTTTTGCAGAGTAGCTGCATGACTATCAAACAAAGAGCGTTCCAACCTTTGTGTAAACGCGGATGACACAATGTTCCCATTCAATAAGATCATCCTCATTATCGCGATAGGAACTTTATTTCCTCTAGTCTGTGAGCCACATGAAAGAACCACCGGCCCTCGAACAAGCCGCTTGAATATAGTGTCTCCCTCATCTAGGTATCTTACTACATATTGGGAATATCGTCTCTGTAAGCTTATGGAAAGCGTAGTTAGATCAATTAGCATATCGACTTCTAACGTGTCAAGAAAGGGAATAAACTCAATATCTTCTAACTCTTTGCAAAATAGAACATTAAATTCCTTATTGAACTCATTGTACCGCAAATCCAGTCGCTTCAGATGCTTGCAATCACTGAGAAATGAGATAAACTCTTGTGTATCTCGGCGCTTCCAACGTTCGAACAAATCACAATCTGACAATGATAAACAAATTAGAGAGGTAGCAAGATTGATCTTCAACCGGCGCATTAATTGGGGGATTGCATCAGGTGGAAGCCCCAGTTTTTTAGCATCAAACTCAAGACTACAATTAGTACAATCTAAAGATATGAAGAGACCGAGCTCGTTGAGATTTCGATGACACAATAAATACAATCCATAGATGGACAAGGCATTTGAGGTTCCGCGTATAGATGATGTCACTCTACCACTGAGACATATGGTTGCCTCTGATAGGCCTCCATAAGAAACACTAGCTAGACGAAGCCACTCATAGATAAAAAGCCCTAGATCAGGAGCTAGTGCATCTGAAGCCTCAAAGCGAGATAGGTCTATATGCATGCGTTCCTTGACAATCGACCACGTGTGTTGTAAAAAGTCCTGTTTGCAAGACAATCGAAACTCTCGAAAGATGGATTGCTTAGAATACAACATAGACGAGTTAGTAAAGACTCTGAGTGCTTGAATAGTGGTAGCTGCAGACTCAGTGTCTAGGTCTTGAAGAGAGAAGCTGAGAGGAATGCATCCGCGTCGATCTCTCACCATGGTCAAGATGTTCTCTAGGGTATGAGTTGTCAGGTTGTTTCTGCTTAGTGATATATATGTGACAGTGCTCCATGAAATAGCCGGAAGAAGGTGGTCTATATCATAGTCATAAAGCCCACAGTTATCTAAGACTAGGACTTCCAACCGAGTGAGACTTTCTAGAAGAGTACCTAACTGCTTGGTTTCCTTTCTTAGTATCCGATTGTTTAGTATTTTGAATTCCTTTAAGTGAGATAGATTGTGTCGATTTTCAACTAAAAGGGCAAGAATCTCGTCAAAACAAGGAGTGTATATTGCTATTGTTAGCTCTCTGACTGCTGGGAAAATTGGGGCCATATTAGCAACCACCTCTGGGGAGTAGTTGTGAAGTGAAAGAGTGCCAATAGCTTCTATCGAACGCACCACGGTTTCGGGCGGTGATCCCGTAGAATAGGTATTCGCACCACAAAAGTCGAAAAGCATTTGAAGCTGTGTGTCCGAAACATTAAAAGGAACCTGTGCATATGCTAATTGGCTAAAGATCATTCTACCAATTGAAAACAAATCTCCTGAGAAGCCAATTCGTGGCATATCCTTAATTATAAACGACCACTCATCTATCTTTCTCTTTAGCAACTCGGCTAGGGGAGCCTTGACCAGCCCTCTTATTTTGGAGTGCAAGCAAACTCTAATAAACTTTAACTGTGAATAATTTGAAATTTAATGTCCAACTTTGACGACTCTCTTAATTTGGATGAGTCTGCGTACCAGCCAGGCTCAGCGCACTCTCCAGTGACTCTTATAAGTAACGACTTTCTTCCCCAGGGGGTTACAGTAGGAAATGTCGTTGCTTATCAAACACCAATGGTTGTAGAAACGCCTGCGCTGCATCATGACTCAAGCGATTACATACATGATGCAGTAGAGAGCATAAATCAAATGCGGTCTGGATTAGAAGCTCGTCTGCATGCTTTAGAAGACAAATTAGAAGTACTTATAACCAATATTCACAGAGGTGTATCGAGTAGCACATCTCCGGCCAGCGATCGCCCCCAGGGTGCGACTCCGGTACAGAGCTGTGGGCCAGAACAGGATACCCCGGACATTAAGTTGGGGCAAGCGCTTCCAACGCATAATATGATTATTCTATCTCACGATCAACTGGAGAAGATCATAAACGAGAAGGTAACAATGAGGCTTATAGAGTTCCAGAAGTCTCTCTATGATCAGACGTACGCAGAAGTACGATTACGGAACCTTGAAAGCTCATTAGATAGTATCAACAAGTCTATCACGAACCTCTCTGCCCACACGGCCCCCTTCCCACCCAACCAAGCTACAATTAGACCCTCAAATTTGATTCAGCACAATGCATCAGAAGCTAACGATGTTTACCCTGCAGCTTACAACCAGCGGGCGGCACGACCTGGGATGATTTCGTTAGATATGAGTACTCAAAACAGCCACAGACCTAACTCTGTGCAGAACCTTTATGACGTGGTGGAGAGCGGTCAAACAAACCTGAGTGCACTGACCTATTCAGCCACATCTAGACAGCCAAACCTCTACAAATCCTCTTCCACAGGAGACACGACATCCTCGGTTATGCGAAAGAGTTACGTGCCCAATAGCATCGTTCAAACCCCAGTTTCTCACCCTGCACTAGGAATGTTGAGCCAGAACACAGGTACTGTGCAAGATATAATAAATGAGATTCGACACAGATCAGGAATCCAGGTCTCGACCTGAGGGTGCTATTGAAGACCCGGAGGCCTCTCTAGCCAACTGCGCTAGACCAGAACACTATACTGTAAATGACACAGCCGGCAGCCAGCTCCCGTTTACTTCTTCTTGCGCTGGACACCGACGACATGGCCACGGCGACCAGTGGACTTTGTGTGCTGCCCGCGAACCTTCAGGTTGTGGTGGTGGCGGACACCGCGCTCGCAGCGAGTTTTACGGAGACGCTCCAAGTCCGCACGGTGGGTAGAGGCTATGGTATTGACCAGAATGTGCATGTCTTTGCCAGATTCAAAATCATTGTTACGATTAAGCATCCAGGCTGGAATGCCGTGGGAGAGGGGGTCCTCAAGGACCTTCATGAGAGCATCCTCCTCGGCCGCTGTGAGCTCACCAGCGCGTTTGTGAACGTCAATGTTGGCTTTCTTGAGGGCAACATTGGCAAAGCGGCGCCCAATCCCCTTAATTCCGACAAGGGCACACTCAAGTACGACCTTGCCCTGGATGTTTGTGTTAAACATACGCAAGAGGTCCCTGTAGTCGTTGGGCTGAACGATCGTTGTCATGGCGAATTCAAAAAAACAAGTCGCCACAGCCGAAGAAGTGAATTTAAAATGGTTATTTACAACTCAGCGGCCTCGTGTTCAGACCTCGTCGGTGATGACTTCATCGATCTTGAGGATCATGCGGACGACCTGTGTGGCCAGCAGAAGTTGCTGCACTTTGCTCGACAGCGTTTCAAAGACACTCTGCTCCTTCATGTCAATAGTGTTGCGCTGCATGCAATCTATTCCGAGGTGGTGGCTCCCTGTCTTCTTCTGTGCAGCCTTTACCATAGCCAGGGTTTCTATTGGTTGAATGCTTGAATTACGAGCCAGCGTAAGAGGGATGATGTCCAACGCCTCCGAGAAGGCCCTCAGGGCATATTGCTCAACAGTCCCCACGTGCTCAGCTGCCTCAGCAATTGCAAGGGAACATGAAATTTCGGCTGATCCGCCTCCATAGATGACGCGAGGGTCCCGAATGAGGTTTCGGACGACACACATGGCGTCGTGAAGCGACCTACGGGCCTCCTCGATAATCATATTGTTACCACCACGTATAAAGACAGTCGATATCATGTGAGGCACACTATCCGCGGTTGTTTGTTGGGGTTGCAGACCTTCAAATATCATAACTTTATCTGAAGATGTTCCTAGGCTCACTTCGCGCACAATCTCTGCGTAGCCGAGCTTGTCAGAGGAGATATCTTCAAAGCGAGGAATAATTCTAGCGCCTGTAATAAGAGCAATGGCCTCTATATCCTCACCCTTCACCCAGCGCACAGCGTTTATGTCGTTCTGCATGAGCAGATGATTGGCCTCGTCATCAAAGCCCCATTGGCAAACAACGAAGTTTGCACCTGCTTCCTTCAAATGCTCAATCATATTTATGAAGAACTGCTGCTCCTCTCTGTAGAGAGTGTTATACTTCTCAACAGAATCTACATCTATCTTGTACGTCGTCTTTGGTTTCGGCGGTTCAAACGGACATGTGAGCACGGCAATCTTAGCGTGACTGACGCTCTTACGCATCCCGGGGTGAGACATCTCCTGATCTATTAGAAACCCATTAATGATCTTTATGTCCTCTAATTTCCCTCCAATCTTAGAGCGCACCTTGATCAGCTCGAAGTCGACATCATTGCGCTGCAGATCTGCCACGCGGAAGACTGCATCAACAGCGACTTCTGCCATTGTGCGGTGATACCTATTTATGACCTTGGAGCCAAGGGAGGTCATGGCAGCCTTGATTAGAGGCTCCTTATTATCTGCTGAGAACGAGTACGTGGTAGCTATACTCTCCAAGTGCTTGATCGCCACGTCGCAGGCCATGTCATAGCCGTCAGAAATCCTTATGGGATGTATGCCCTTGTCTAAGAGGGTCTCGGCGTGCTCCAAGAGACTTCCTGCAAGCACCACAACACCCGTTGTCCCGTCTCCTATTTCATTGTCTTGACATTTGGACAGGTCCACTAACAAGCGAGCAATGTGGTTGTCTACCTCCATCCTCTCTAGAATTGTCGCTCCATCGTTAGTAATTGTTAGTTCACGGTCTCCCGAAACAAGGATCTTATCCATTCCCCTAGGCCCAAGGGATGTTCGGAGGGTATTCGCAAGAGCACGTGCGATGGTGATATTGGATTTATGGGCTTCCAGACCTCGTGCACGCTTCTTCTCTGTTCCCTCGCGCATCAGGTAAACTGGGTTGCCATTCTCGTCCTGAGAAACGCCGAGCAGCTGGGCTCCGTTGATGCGCTGAGCCATAAAGTTATTTTATCTATCATTTTAATCTGCTCTAAAATTTGTAAATTTCCCATATCTTTTGTGGAAAAACACATATTCTAGAGCAATTTTCACTGAGAGATACTAATCATTGGCTGGTGTAGGAAGACTTGCACTGGAGTATGTCTGAACCCAAGTCTGAACCTAGTAGGGACTCCGAGCTACCATCTCAGAACAGTCAGATCACAGGAGGCCAATCCTCCACCATAGCGAAACTCCTTGGCAAAGACAAGCTTAAGGATACTGGACCGCCAGTCCGACAGCAATCCAGTCGCTCTGCTAGAGCCAAAGCTCTTCCAAAAGAGGCATACCAGGGGGTTAAGCGCTCCGCTCCAAGGCTTGATCCAGAAGTGGATCAGCTACTCTCAGATGCCGATGCTCTAACAAGCATAGGTAAAAAGGGATCTGCAAGCGATAAGTCCAAAATATCTGCTCATTATGGTTCTAAGACGCAAGATTCCACTCGCAGTGCAGGTCTTGTGTACATGGAAGGAACAATGACGTTAGACGCACTAAATGCAGAGCTAGCCACTGGAGACGAGGCAACTGCGCGACTTAGGGAAATGCTTATTGCGGCAAATCAGCGGATAGCACAGCTAGAGGGGCAAATTAAACGAATTAAGGACAAGACATCTATTCGTGCCGGGGAGGATATATCGCTATTGCTAGAACAAACAAATGCAGCAAAGTCTATCGCTGTCGCAGACATGCTTAAACCGCTTGCTCCAGAAGCGCCTGCAAGCTGGGAGCTGGCTCAGGAGAAGCTCAAGGATAAGTGTAGGCAGCTCATCCAAGCCCTGAAGGTGGAGAGGGAGCAGCATGACGAAGTAGAACGCACTCTCAAGCTAGAGAACCTGGGGCTTACACGCAGACTGAAGTACGCCGTGCTCCGGGCTCGTGAGCTAGAGGGGAAGCTCAAATCTCAAGAAAAGTATATAAAAGACTGCGAGGCAGCAATCCTGAAGCAGCACAAGCTCACTGAGCATCTTCGCTCAAGGATGCAGCGCACGGGAGAGTCACAACCGTATATGGAAAAGAACCCCAGAAGCCGGTCGGAGAAGAGAGCCTCTAGCACACCGAAGACGCCAAAGACCTCCAGAGATTCGGCAGCCAGTCCTGTTGTGGAAGAAAAGACACAGCCCACGGCAGACAATACTAAGAAGGCCTCTCAAGATACGACTCTCAGGCAAGGGAAATTCAAGAAAGGCGACGACTCCGTGAACCTAGATAGTGACAGCAGCTTCCATCTTACCCCGAAGAAGAAGCTTGTTGAAAGCGTGGACAGTTTTAGTGACGACTTCGGCTTTAATCCAGGGGCAAAGAAGATAAACATTAGTGATCTATCTGACGACTTCGACATCTGATGCAGACCATACTGTATTTACTCTCCTTTAGGCTCTGCTATCTACGAGCTCGTCGACAGAGACAGAACTTGATCTGTGGCGTCAAGGCTTGCGTTAAGACTGGCGTCAAGACCATGCTCAGGAAGTGCCTGGAACGGGTCAGAACTGGCCCCTAATGTTCCAGAGTTTTTCTTCATCAGTGACACGCAGACGCTCCAGACATTGGGGTAGAGCGTTTTAACATTCTTGGGAGTCAAGAAGCACTCGCAAAACCGATCTATATTACCCTCATCTTTGTACCATTGCTGTGCATCTCGCATGGCCTTGTTAAAGTCGCCCCCAGACCCCAGCTTTCCTTTAACAGATATTGTACGTAGGCTGTTGTACACCTTTGTTTTGAGCATGTTGCTGCTTCTATCCGGTATATGCTTCTCCATAGTCTTCCAATCAGGGCCATATAGAACAAGACAGGCCACGAGGAGAAGCTCTTCTCCGGTGGTCCACATCTTTGCATGCTTATAGTATCCGCCCTTTTTACTTCTAGTCTTCATTTGAGGGTTTGACGCCTCCTCCATGTCTGTCTCGGGTTTTCGTTTTCATTTTTTAAGCCCCTTTCACCAACTGCCGGGGTTGTGCCAATTGTAAATGAAACAACAATAGGACGTGCACCATTTACGTCTTAATAGATAGACCTTTCTTCTTAGTGCCTGCTGACACTGAAGCCCCTGCCACGGTCGAATTGAACGTGCTGGGAACCTGAGAGGTAGTTGAAAGACTATCTATTTCGGCCTGGTACTGATTTGCCAGCGATTCATTGTTCTCCTGCATGGCAAGGAACTTCAAATTGACCAGGGCAGCCTTCTCTGCAGACACATCACGAAGACCGCGGGCCTTTTCCTTGCAAAGAATGAATGTCTTCTTCGATTCATCAATAGAGTTGCTTCCATAATATAGCTTACCCGCTAAGCAGAGGGCATCGAGGGCCAACTCGTTCGGTGTGCTGTCCGGTGTAACAAAGAAGCTCGGTGCTCTAGAACGGAAAGTGTCCAGCTCAGGATCTACGTAGTTCAATTGTATGTCAGTCCCAGGATCGTCTAGCATAAAGGTACCGCCAGATAAGATGTGAAGTGCACTCTTAAGATAGTCAAACGCAGGACCTTGGACACCTGAGTCTATCACACATTTGGCAGCGTTAATGCACGCTTCTGCAATGATGTAGCGTGGACAGACAAGCTCCCCGTTATCATTTTTAGCCTCTATGTAAGGGAGTATTCCTTCATAAGATTCTTTGGCACTGGTATAATCGCCAACAGCTAAAAGCACGCGCCCTAAGTTACGTAGGGACCTTATTATACCCCTAACGTCCTTTATACCTGTATTGAGAGTGAGAGCATGACGGAACCTTTGAACAGAAACACCTGGTCTATTAGTGTCGTACAAAAGACATCCTATGCACGTCTGTATATCGGCAAGAAGCATCTCCTTTTCAACTGCCGCCTGCTTGTCAGCTGGATTGACGACCAATGCTGTGGCATACTGATCTGCCAGTTTCGCGTCCGCAAGGGCATCGTCTAGATTGCCCAATTCTATCTGCTGTTGAACATGCTGAATAAGCCCAACAATATCCTGGACAGTTTTCTTTCCAGGCGCACGCAGCTGCGCAAGACGGTTGCCTTTTGACTTGCTCCTGCTTCTCCCAGTCATCTCCGAGGAGTCTAGGGCATTCATAGAGTTGTCGGCACTGACGCAGCTACTCCCCAAGGGCTGCGGTACTCTTTTTATTGACATGCTTGAAAGCGTACCAGTGCCAGCACGACTAAGAGACGACTTAGTCACCGTCTTCCTGCCAGTAACTGTCTGATTACTCTGTGCAGTACCTTGGGCTTGCTGGCGCCAGAATTCAGAACGCTTATCTATGAACTCAATTCCACTAGATATAATTGGCTTAACACTTCCGCAGGTTGTAGTGAGGGTAGAGTCTTTCTGGAGAAGCTCTAAGAAAGCGCGATCTGGTGCTAGATCACCAGCAGTCTTGTACTTTTTCCTCAGACTTTGTTCCTGGCGAAACTCGCGCTCCATTGCGGTTTGACGAGTGCTTCCCAGCATTGAGGTTGACGTACCAGATACCTTGACTCGGCTAGTGAGAGGGGTTTGGCCTGGAGATAACATGGCGCTATCGGTATGGTTAGTTTCATCCAGAACACTCTGTATGCTTATGAGAGTATTGGAGATGGGGTCCAGAATGTGGTTGTGCTTATATGCCAAGTGGTGGAGACATGCTTCACATCTACACGTGCAGAGAGATTCAAACTCCTGGTTGACTAGATCATCGCAGGTCGTGGGATCACAGTGTGGGCAACCGCATAGACAACGAAAAGTATTTGGGCCCAGCTCAAGCTCTTCACCGTTGATGGTCGTGAACTGCAGCTCCTCAGATTGGTAGAGGGCTTCAATCTCCTCAACTGTGGGTGCTAAGTTGCACTTTACTGTCAGCTCATCCACGCAGTCTATTCCCGTATCAATAGCGCGCAAGATGGACTCTTCTGCCTTCTGGACACCAAGACGGTACTCTTGTATATCTGGCCGTTTCCTGTACGCCCGGTAGTAGTAGACCAATGCCTCTTCAAAGAGGCCTGCAACAAAATACGCCTGTGCAAGCTGGTAATACCCACGGTAGAAGTTTGTATCACTCCCGACAGAGTCAGTGGCGTCTTGGATTGCCTCGTCATTCATTCCTAGAGACGCATAGGACTTTGAGCGGGCTATCAAGACATTGCGATCCTTGCGAATGTCTAGCGCCGCTGTATAGGAGCTTATAGCCTTCTGAAACAGTCCCAAGCGGAAGCACGCGTCACCCTCAGCAACATGGAGTCTGAAGTTGTTGGTGTTGTTGGCCTCACCTTCCTCCATCAGACTCTCACAAATTTGCGAGAAATTTGCAAAAAAGACCTTAAAAGAACAGCAAAGATGGTAATAAGTAATAAGTACATAAAAAGTGGACAATTATCACATTTCATAAACACTCTGCAGACAGTCGAGTCCGTGTAAGCTGATTCGATTGGGCTGGTAGATTCTGGAAACTCTTCTAGTTCTTATTTCAACCTTCCTAGCCTTCCAGAGCTTCCAGAGGAAGCCTTACCCTTTTGGATGTCTTGGAAGACATGCTCTTTCTATCGCCAAAAAACTGCCTCCAGCCTACTTCTTTGGGTCACAGAAAAATGTTGAACCTTGACGACTGTACGCGCTTTCATAGCGATATAGCCATCATAGCCTCCCACTACATCTCTCATCTAGCCAGATGTTACGTTGTGACACAGGAATCACTGAAGATCTTGGACGGGGTAACGCACGCAGAGATCAACAACTTCACTTTTCCATTTAATGGGGTGGTTGGTTCGACTCTTGAACAGCACAAGTCACTCACCATCTCTCCTTCTGCGGTGTCTGGAAGAATCATCAATGCTCATTTCTATCTCACCAGCTTAAGCATAAACCTAGTACTGGTCTTCTCGCCGGGTTGGATCTGTCATATTTCAAACCATGTGCTCGTACACATTGAGAACTTGCAGGAGAACCTTTCGGCGAGTACCATTTTTAACTACAAGAATGAGTATCTCCTGACCGTTTGCAGCGCGAAAAGTATAAACGTACTTACCCTTGAATCATTGTCTCAGCGCACACACTTGTCTACACCAGCAGTCACCTTGTCAGGCAGCAGACAGGAAGTAGACACTGACGAGCATAGCTACCCTGTCGAGGTAGTAGTCTCATGGCCCCTGCAAGCTGTTCTCTATAACACTGGACACTGCGGCTTGTATAAACTGCAAGGCCTTGACAAGCACTCTCTAGGCTTGAACTTGGTCTTCTTAGGGCTGTTGGATTTGCTGCACGTGGACTCTACTGAGACGAGATATGTTACATCGTTATCTAATCTTTCTATAGCAGGCTGCATACATACGACCACTTCCTCTGGTGAAGCTGCACTCAGCTTCGCTTACATCTACTATTTAGAGTCATCCGTGAGAGTAGATACCATGGACTTAGCTGCCTCAATTCGTTCTCTAACCGAATCAGGTTTTTCGTCAAAGATCCGTGCCATGCGTACCGAGTTCTTATCTCTCCCAACGCCATCAGTCACTGCCCAGTTTTACAATGTCTCCGTAGCTTCACCCTTGTCCCAGCTCTTTCTCACATCGTCTGCAAATACGCTTCCAACTAAGATTCTTTCTCTCTATGCGACTGAGCGTCACTTAGTATTGCATCTAATGGACGATAGTGTCGCGGTATATTCGATAACAAAAGTAGACACTGAAGCTAGGGTAGTGTCTCTGGCAGATGCAGAAGCATTTCAACCTATCCACAGGCATATGCGGTCCCGGCTGGCCAGCAGAGCATACAGTCCAACAGAAGTGGAGTTTATAGTTGAGAATGACGCCACATTTGATCGCCATATAGTGTTGGAATGCCGTATCAAGCAATTGATAAATCGCTCTCGCACTAACAACGCAATCGTTGAGAACCGTGTCCCCTTTTTAGCTAAGTCTCTGGGGCATGTTGGCACTATCATGGGGGTTGACGACCCTGCAGACCATACATCTTCCGTCGAGACTGCCTCTACTCTTCCACAGATAAGGTTTAAGCCGGAAGAAAAAGGTCGGGACATGCTAGCTGTTATCTACTCCTCAACGGTGTTTTTCTTGCCTGTGGCTTTTCTGACGATCCACGGGACTCCCGGTCTACCAGCTAACTTTCTTCCTGAGATCCTAACGACGTACAGCATGGCACGATTTGGGTGCACAGGAGAAGACTCAAGGGCTGATTATCTTAAGGAAGAGCTAGACATCCATTCAGATAATGTGAAAGAAATGCTAGCATCGGAGAATGCGTCTTCTATCTACGGTAGTATGCAAATCACACCACATCCCCTACTCCTTCCAACACAGAAGTCCAGAGACAGGCAAAAGTACTTATCTATAGTCCAAGCCATGTTTCCCGAACAAGCGTTCTTTTTGGAGGAGGTTGCCCGCATGGTCAATGACCCTTTTTACCTTGACAATGCCGACTACCTGGTGTGTATGGGATCACTCTTGGCAGTATTTAACTCTTTCCGTGCGGAGCAACGCACACTAGAGCTGCGTAGCTACGACGCGGGACTCAAAAGTGTGATGGCTGCCATCTGCACAACGTTCCCACCTGTGGCAGTCATCAAGAATCGTTTCATTATTCTTCCGCAGAAGACAAAGATAACAGCCGGGTACGGATTTTCGACCAAAATGCCAAAGACAAACTCTTTCAATGTCATGCTACCAGCCTGGGATCTTCTGCAGCACACAGTTCTCTCTGCAAAGATATTTCCGATGACGCTTTCTGGAAAGCAGTTTCTCCGTGTATATCGCCAATTGTCTCACAGAGGCATTTTGTCATTTGTTGGCTGCGGTACGGCTATTAACAATGCATTTTATGTATTTACTGAATCACCGCCAAAGATCAAACTATCACGTGTCTTCCAATATGACGAGGAGGCTCTCCAACTCTTTAGGTCCGAGCGACGAATCAGGGTCTTTATTCGTTCGCTTCTTCAGGCTATAAACTTCCTCTACTCTAATGACACAAAGCTTATCCACCGTGACCTCCGGCCAAATCAGATATGGGTTAAGAAGAACAGCAACGGTGACCCCGTGGCGAAGATCTACCACATGGGGTTTATGTACCCTCTCTCTGCCAACGAGCCTATGGAACACAACACCATCTGGGTTGCCCCGGAAGTGGTTTGTGGGGGAATAGACACCAAGTCGGACATCTGGTCTGTCGGCACTCTTACCTTCAGACTACTTGAAACTCTGGTTAACCTGCATCAGGGACGGCGTGGCCACAACCTCAACAACCTCTTCTGTCCATCGTTTGCTGATATCTCGAAGGTCCCTTCTTTCGCGCCCGGTAGTGGAGAGCGAAGCCTACTTGTAGCAAACAATTCTAGCGTTATTTATCAAATGATGCTGATGTCTTCTGACAAGGTAGAGGTTGCACCAAACAGATATGCTGTTTATACAGTGAAGAACTGCGATGCCGCAATAGAGAAGGCAAAGGTGCCATGGAGCATGCGAAGGGCTTACTTCGCCTCAACCGGTATCCTCCCTTGGTACGATTTGAACTATGCAAAACCTGGAGCACAGAAGGAGGAGTGCGGAAATCTGGACACTTTCTTTGAAACGGCGATCTACTCGCAGATCATTTCTGCAAATGCTGTGGACTTTATCAAGCGCTGCTGGACCTTTAACCTGGATCTTCGCTGGAGCCCAGAGCTGATGCTTACTCATCCGTGGCTAGTCTCGCGGCCCAAACAACTGTTGATCCAGAACTAAACTTATAGATCTTGGTAGCTTGAGGACGATCTTCAATAGATTGATAGGGAAAGTTGACATCTACTACAGACTATAGCTCTCCTCCATGAACCTTCTATGAGCTAGATTAAGTGGTGCAACATGTCTATGTAATGTACTTTTGTATACTTTAGTTTGAATACATTTTAGTGAGGTTTATCCATTTGTTTTTCAGCAATAAATTATTAAGATTCTTAAAGCTAATTAAGTTGTGAATTGTTTTCGCATATGTTTTCGCGTCTACTATCTCCTACGCTTTATGGAGAGGGCCACTAGAGCAGGTTTTTTTAGATTTTGGAATTTACCTCAGAATAGCAAGTAGTAACCTTTGAAATCCTATTGATGAAGGCCATACTGGAGCTCCAGAACTTAGAGTACAGTGAGAATGGTGACGGGATGTCTCCGGAGGAGTACCGGTGGTATGTCATGACGAAGGAAAAACTGCGGACACAGTCATTTGACCTTTTAAAACCCCTTAATCCATTGGCCATCCCAAAAAACAGACAGATCTCTTGTGATCTCTGTAGCAAGAGAGCCACATTGCAATGCTTAGCATGCCGCAGTCACTGGTGCACGTATGAGCATTTTCTGCTGGACTCTGAAAGCATCCATTTCTATATTTGCCCCAAATTGGCAGAAGTGTGGGCCATGTCATTTGTGCCAGGAAGATATGAGTCTATAGAAGATATTGTCAAGGGGCGTGCAGAAACAACCGTGCAGTTGGGCATGCTCAAGGAAATTTGCGAAATGGCCTCTGAAAAGGCCAAGGAATACATCACCAGTAGATGCTTCATCATGGCCATTGCTCCATCTGTTCGCTACATCATTCTTGCTGAGCACATATATTCAACGAATAGCTATGAATATGTTAAGGCAAACACCTTACTGGTGCAGGCGCATCTGGGCTTAGAAAAGTATGCCTATGTTCAAGACGCACTTCCTCGATTGAAGTCTGGCATGCACTATCTGCTTCTGTCCACTTTGACGACTATGGGACACAAATACTACGAACGAAAATATGACGCACGCACACTAGCGTTGCGGACAGGAACACGAACGGGATTTGGGGACGTTTTAATATCTCTCCAATCTGATCTATTACCGATACGAATTGTCGCAAAGCTACCCAAGAACATTCTTCAACTCATGAGCTTGATCTGCCACATAGCAGGCACCATGTTTCTAGACTCTAACAGGTTTCCAGAGGCTTTAGACAACTATAGCCACTCTGCATACCTGATGTCACTGGCTTATGGTCCAACAAGTCTCGAAGCCACACTCATATACTACGGTGTAGCCAAAACATTCATAAGAAAAGCACAGATAGAAATAGAGAAGGAGCGGGACCGCGGAGAGCGAGGGTCTGTTGGTTCGTCCTCTACTTTTGAAGCTGAAGCTAGCCAATCTAATCCAGATCCCAAGCTCAGGCTTCAACACTCAATCAAGAGACTAATCTACCATAACAAAACAGTCCAGGAAAAGGGGAGGAGACCAGTTACTGCCATGGCAGCCGGACGGCCTCCAATGGGTATACCTCATGCCAAACCAAAGTCTGCCACGAGAGTGCCCAAATCCTCCGAGTCCACAGGTATAGCATCTTCGTCCAGCATGGGCATATATCTATCTGATGAAAGACCTGCACACCCTGCTATCACTCCAGCTCCATCTCCTCCTCGTCATCTCAAGCGATTTGATCGCTACATCGAAGACGTCACATTTGATTTATCTGGAGAGCCATCCGCGCGCTTCTGCAACCTTGGAAAGGGCTTAAAGCAAGGTATAAATATGCTACGCATCATCGTAGACGTGTGGGCTATTACAATCCGGCGACAATTCAACAAGGGATGCATACTAAACTTTCCCCACGCTGAGCTAGGTGACCCAATCAGCATGCTTTTAGAGATACAGATGATATACTCTCTATACCTTGGAAAAGACACACTTGAATACGGCCACGTGTCCCTCACACTAGCACTACTCTATACCATGTATGATAGAGAGTTTGACGGCTTCTCTCACGTCAAGAAGGCACATGCTGCGTTCACTGAATGCTTACGGGGGATAGAAAATTCGCAAAAGAAGGCCGATAAGGCGATAATCCAGCAACACCTAATAGAAGCCGAGGACGTGATGCACGCTCTTTCGTTCTTCGTTCGAAAGGTCTCAAAGCCCAATATCAATACATCTTCCCAGGCTATGCACAACTTACAGCCATTGGTGCGGCCGCTGGGGGTCACTGCAACGTTGGGGGGAAAGGTCTAAAAAGAAGAAATAAATATCATGCCAGACTATGACCTTCACTACCTTATGGCAACGAATTTGGAGCCCTTACCCGAGGAGGCAACTTTATCAACACCTAACGAGCATGTACTGATGCAGCTAGCGGTTAAAACACTCGCCTCTCTATGTAAAGAATTTGTCATGCTACCCTCCACTTCTGGACCGATGGGACCAGTCGCAACGCTTCCAGAGCCCAGAACTTTGCTACCACGTGAAAAGCCTCTCCCAGAAGAAAAGCCCTTGACGACGTGGGAGAAGTTTGCTAAAGAGAAAGGTATTAAGAAGCGATCCCGGTCTCAAAAGGTCTTTGACGAAAAGACAGGTGAGTATCGCCCACGCTATGGATATAGGCGGCGCACAGATAATACCATAGAGTTCGATCCTATTGTCCCTGCGAAGCCTGGTGTTGACGACTACACCGGCGCAGAAGATCCTTTCACACGTGCACGCAGAGAGAAGAAGGAGCGTGTCGCGAAGAACAAGGCGCAACAGGCAGCAAACATAAAGCGCGCCCGTGCAGTCAAGAAGTAGGACTGAGGTGGTTCACTTTGTGATATTGCCTATATCTCTAAGGAAAAGGAACCACCTCGCCTAATGGATAGCCACTTTCCTAACAGATGTAAACTGAGAAAGGCAGCCGTCCAACCTGGGCCTGCTAAGATCAAATGAAATCCTCATAGTCGTCGTCCACCTTTTGGTACTTGGCGTCACGGCCACCCACGTAGACCTGGGACTTGCCAGTTGCGTGTGAGCCACCCTTTTGGGCCTTACCCTTCTTTTTCTTCTTTTCAGCCTCTTTACGATACATCTCAACAGAAATGCGTGCGCATACGTCCGAGAGCTCTTTTGCATCTTCGTGATAGAGCGGAGAAAGAGCGCCCTCGACAATGCGCTTAAGGCAATGCATGTAAAGAACATCATTGTCGTTCTTGTAGGTAGAGACAAGCTTTTTAACTATTGCATCTGCAAATGCATCGAATTGCTCAATAGACGCAGGGATCATTTCCTCAATACTCTGTGGCCCAGAGGACACGCCCTCAGCGATTTCGCCGCCCATGAAATTGTCTTCAAGAGTGTAGTCCCTCAGCTGTCCATTGTTTTTCTTCTTGTCCCCGTTGGCGGAGTTCTTAGGTCCCTTGCCACCCTCATCGTCACTGCTGTCGTTATCACGTAACATATTCGAAGCAGCCACAATGTTTTGTTCATACCGACGCTTTTCATCGAGGCGTGCTTTTGCAGTTTCTGAAAGTTCGGGAGCACCAGTCGTAAAGCTATCCCGTTCTCTCTTGCGGATCTTCTCACGATTTCGGGCGGCCTCTTCTTCTGCCCGTCTCTTTTGCTCAGCTATCTCCTTCTCCTCATTTTGCTTTGATAGCTTCATGGCGTTGCTCTCCCATGCCTCTGGCTCAGATCCCTCGCTGGAAGACCCAAAGTCTAAAGCGGGCATTTTATTTCTACCAGGCACTCGTCAGTTAAAATCGACGCCTTTAAAGAGGTCAACTTGAGACAGCTGTAGCTGACTGCTCAGTTAGTCACTCAGTTGCTTTTCCCTGCCCTGCGCATACGTCCATGGTTGAAGGAGAATAGAGGGCGAGCTGAGATTTAGTTGATTTAATTTGAAGCATGACCGTTCCCCTCTCCCGAACGATCCAGTACATGCGAAGCCAGCTACGATCGTTCCGACGGTTCCTGACTGCTCAGGAGACAGCAGTGCATAAGAATTTTGAGATGGCAGAAGACATCAAGAATAAGCTTGCGACATGCGAGGTTGAGCTCCATACCTTACAAGAAGCCAGTGCTCTGCAACAGCGGTCTCTTGAGTATCGTAAGAGTCACAATTCGACAATAATCTTTGATCGAAACAAGCTGAAGTACATGCGTCGTGCTCTCTTTAAGGCGCGTGAAGAAGCCAGTACAAAAGACGACAAAGACGGCATTACACGGGCAAATAGGATGCTTGACCTTATGGACGATTTGGACCTCTATATCAATGATTCCCCGGTGTTTGTGACATACCGATCTGCTTTTAAGAACCTAAAGGGAAACATACTAGACGGTGATGCAAAAGTTCCAGAGAGGACTGCTCAGATTATAGCTCAAACGAAGATACTACGGCGACTTATCGATGGCGGTGAATCTCGACCTGAGGATGATCAAATCCTCCCAGAGACTCTACAAACCTTGGCCAAGGCCATTATTATCAACAGACGAATTACATCTGTTTTGCAGGCAAAACGTGTGACCAAGGAGAAGACGCCTCCTACAAAACTCTTGCGAGGCACAGCTATCGATGATGAGATGAAGAACGACATCAACACAGACTTGGCTGACGATGACTTTTTCGATGACCCGTAGTCAGTAGGTACCGCATTTCAAGAGGTAAATCTTTATTTATTGACTTCTTGTACCCTGCGCAGGCAACCGATCAGGGAAAACCAAAAACCAAAATTTAATGACGAGGAGATCACAGTTTTTGCTGCAATACCTCCACCAGGGTGTGAACACGACATTCCCAGCCGTTCTAGAAATGCGTACCGGTAGCGAAATAGGCTCTCCTCTCCAGCTTATTCTAACAAGTCCAAACGACCTTATGTTCTACTTCTACTGCAACATCACCGATCAAATGCTGAAAACTATGTGTGATACCCTATTAATAGATACACAAATGGTGGCGACCTTCGATACATATCTGTTTCCACTGCTTGACAATCTTTCAGACAAGCGCACGGTTTGCTTAGAAGATGATGATAAACGGACAGGCTTTATATTCACAGTACATGATAAGCTGGATTTCCAAAGGTTTTACCGGCTCCGGTTACCATTCGAGCGCGCATCAGACAGAAGTCTCGCAGAATACCTCTCCGAGCTGCTTTCAGAATCCCAGAAACTCGCTACAGCCCAAGCGGCTGAGATCACAACACTGAGAACCCAAAGCGATAAGGATTCAAAAACGCTCTCTGATCGTATTGTACTCTCACAGCAAGATCTGCAACGTAAAGCTGAAGAATTTAATGCTCTATCTCTAAACTACAACAAACAGGCTAAAGACTTGGAGGTTATGACTGTTAACTTCAATACTTTGCAAGAATCATCCACACGCGAAATAGCATCTTTGACTGCCAATGTGAAGTCTCTGCAGTCTCAAGTGTTTACATTAGAGCAAAAGAAACTAGACTTAGAGAGGGAATTGAGCTCTACCCTCTCTGATCTGACCTTAGCTCGATCAAATCTTGAGCTCACGCGTGAAAGCCTTACGTCGCGCGAAAGAGAATGTGAAAAGCTCCGTCTAGAGTGCAAACATCTTAGCGATTTGGAGCGCCAGCTGGAGCGTGGGAAACAAGATCTTGCCCTCCAATTGACCAGTCTGACAGAGCGTAGCAACAATACAATTATGGCACAGACATCTCAATTAGATCATCTTAAAGCGCAGAACAAAGAGTTGGTGCAAAACATCGATGAGCTGAAAGAGGCTGCGGCTGCTCTCAGTGCTGAGTGCGACCAGTTGGGACTCAAGTACAACTCAACTCTTTCAGAAAGAAATCAGCTTGAAAGTAAGTTAGGTGAGGTCGTGGAATCATTAAGTTTTAAGACAGAACAAGTGTCTAGTCTCATGGAACGCGTGGCGGAGCTCTCACAGGCAAATGGAGCATTGGAGGCTAAGATATCTAGTGACGCACAAAAGCTCGGGAAGCTCTCCACCGCTCTTCAAACAGCACATAATCAGAAAACGCAGGCTGAGGCCAAAGTCAAGGAGCTTGCTGCTACTATTGCATCCCAAAAAGCGATGATAGATAATTTAACCAACCTTAAAGGAAACGAGCTCTTAGCCGAAGTTCAAGATGGGCATGCTCCTGTATCGCGGAAGGATGTTCTCAAGAAACCAGCAGCACTGCTACCACAACACTTTGAAGTACTAGATTTGGCGCCCATGCTTCAGCGGAATGTCACACGTGGAAAACCTCAGTCTGGCCAAAGCAGCGAATTGACCCTATCTCCACCGCGTCCACCACATGGAGCCTGCGATGGAGCTTCGTTTTCCAGCTCTGATGCGCTCTCTCAGGACACCCAAAGTTTGCTCAACAAATTTGGAAACTTGCGAGCCCGAACTGAAAATAAGCAGCCTCGTATTGCTGCGGATTCTCTGACAGTAGCCCCGCCAATAGCTTCTGGTCAACTTCAGCAATCCTCTGCGATATCTGTCGTGGGATTCGTAAGCAAGCGAGATAGCCCTCCGGCGTCAAAGAGTAATCTCTCTCAGCCCGAAATTTCCACGTCTGGAGATCAGTATGCACGAGCGTATATGAACTTCATGAATAATATCGACTAGTCGTTGTGCAAAAAATGGCCCTTCTTGCAGCTATTTTGTTAGAAAGCTCTCTCAAGTGGACTCCTTCAGTCATTCCCTTAGATCCCTCATCCCTGCCTTATGAGCATAGGGGCATATGGCCTTTGACCGATGTTCATCCGGGAAGCACTGCACCCACACATGCTTCACCAGGACACGGTGCACAATTCGTTCCGCCCGTCTTTTATGACTGGCGTGACGGCTTTCCACAATGCACTACGGAAGCCACTGTTAAGATCTGTCGTCTCGAGGACGCGTGGGCGTGCTCTGCTGTTTCTGTTCTGGAAGATAGACTTTGTATGAAGACTACAAGTGGTAATTACACAAAGTGGGCCCTCTCAGTGCCATTTTTGAAGGCGTGTGTTGATAGCTCATTGAGGTTCAATATTATGGAGCTCTGGGATTGGCTTTTGGCCAACGGGGTTGCGACTCTCGATTGTATCGGCAACTACTTTGACGACACTTCTTGCCCACTTGCTTGTAGCGATGGCTATGCGCTCCGAAAGACGAGCATTAAAGCATTTTATAACATCGGGCATCGGAATCCTCATAGGATAAAAGAGGCGCTGGTCACAGAGGGGCCAGTAGCAACAGAATTTGCTCTCTACGAAGACTTTCTCTACTATGGCTCCGGTATATATCATCATGTTGCAGGTAAGCTCTTGGGATATATGTCAGTTGTTATCGTTGGTTACGGAGTAGAGTCTGGTACGGACTACTGGATTCTGCGCGGGTCTTGGGGGCCTGCGTGGGGGGAAAACGGCTATTTTAGACATGTGCAACAGTCGGGAAACATAGATGATAACGTTCTCTCATTCAGATTGTAAATTTACTTTACTTGGTGTGTCATCATGCGCCTAGCAGCACTAAACATAGCGAGCCCGGAAGTATCCAGAGCTGGGGACCGTCGCCCAATTGATTGGTCATCGTCTTTGGCCATTTTCCCTGGGGACTTCATTCGCCGGGGTGTTGTTGTACGCGTTGGTGGGTCTTGGAGACGCTTTAGAAACTGAACAAGAGGTACTCCACCTTCTGACTCAACAACAACTGTCCCAGTGTGACCTAGATTAACAGATATTACTGCGCCGTTCTTTTCAACAATCCACTCTCGAGGGCCGATACGCTGGAGTGACGGAGCTCGTGGCCCAAGCTCTGTTAGCACCTTGACAACCTCATAGGTCAAGACTTCTGGGCTTATACCTCTGGACCCAGATGATGCACCCCTTGCAACAGATCTTCGTCCACTAGATGCGCGAGAGGAAGTGGAGCGAATGCTCTGTCGAGATCGAGCAGATCCCGGGCGTGATGACGATCTAAGCTGCTCAGCGTCTTCATGATGAGAGTCGTATGCCAAGCTGTGCGTTAATGTGCTGGTTTGGTGGCGCTGAGCTCCACCTTCAGTAAACGATGGATTATATGGACTGTTAGGACCTGTGTTTGTGGTTCCCAAATTGCCGAAAGGACTAAAGGCTTGCATGCTAGTGGTTGCAGATTGATTGCGCTGGTCTGGTGTACGAGGCTTTCCCACCGCTCTTTGCTTTGTTTTCGTCAGCATTTGCTCATAAATCAAAATGGTATCCTTTAGCTTTGCAGAGAGCTGCTCTGATAAATCCACATTAATGACCTTAACCTCGCTATGCAATTGCTTTTCTAATGCAGCAACATGTTTGCACATAGACTCTATTTCCTTGGTACTATTGGCGCTCTTTCCTCCTGGCTTAAGACTTAGTATTTCGTCCTGGAGAAGCTTCCGCTCTTCGAGCAAGACATCAGTGAGCTGGGTTAGGTGCTGCTTAGTCTTCTGAAGATCGTCGGCAGTGTTGCGCGTCTCTTTAAGCTCCTGTCCCTGCTTGATTAACTCTGAGTTTTTGCGAGCAATGGTCTCTTTGAGAGAAATGTTTTCAGTGGTCAGAGGGCCTTCTTGGTTTAAGCTGCCCTGCACTTGATGCATAAGCTTCTGTTTGATTTCTGAGAGCTCGTTAAGCGCTGAATGGAGACTTACTTTTAAAGCAGAATTCTCCTCTGCAAGAGTGGCCATTCTAGCATCCGCAACACCAGGCTGAAGTTTGGAACCAGCTTTGGCGGCCAGCTCTTCAGCCTGTGCCTTATACCTCTTGGCTAGTTCATAGAGAATTTGCCGCGAGTGATGTGGACAGGGGTCTATTAACTCTCCCTGTGGTGTATAGATGGATGGCAAGGGAGGCTTAGAACCTGGACTAAAGGCTTGGTACGAGTCCGCTTTGATAGCGATCGAGCTGTCTCGAGCTTTATGTCCATGAATAAAGTAGACAGGAGATTGCTCTATGGATGACCATTCGTTAGGGTTGGGCTCTGCATTTGCTAGAGTGGCTAGGTTAAATAGGGTAACATCGCTATTGATAAGATCTTGCAGCCTGTTATTTGCTGAAGCGCCTGGCGCGTGAAGAGAGCTCAAGGAAGCGGCCACGATGCCTCCGTGACCGGCTTTATCGGCCACTTTAGCAGGATAGTTAGTCGCAAAGGAACGAATAGAGTCTACACTCCCTAAAAAAGGTCTAGATTGTTCTGCATCTTGTGTGGGAGGATTGTGCAGCAATTTATCCTCTGGTAATAGGGAAGCCTTGTTCATTATCGACAGATTGACACCGAATTCTTCTACCGAGTTACGGGCACTAAGGGTACCTAAGTCTCCTGTGAGACGAGCTGTTGCATCCGAGTCATCCTGGTTTACGGACGACGTTGTGCCACGAGACTTGGAGGTCAATGTGCTCTCCAGCTGTGGATGATTCCTCAACACATATTGTACTATAGCCGCGTACTTTTGACCTCTGCTCCTTATGGTATCTATTGCATTTGCAGTAAATTCATGTTCAATGGTATCCAGGCTTTGTAGGATCTTCTGGTTTTGTTTGACAATTGGCTCCAGCTGCTGGTGGATGGTGGGGTTCTGGGAGCTATCTGAAAGGGCATCCTGGATCTTTGCAATATCACGAGCAATGATGGAGCGTAGGCTGGCTATATTTTCAGGGGAAAGGTCTATTTGATTGCGTTTTTCTATGTTCATTTTAGCTTTTCTGATCTCACTGAGGTTGTCTCTGTGAACACTTGGTGCCTGCCGGACAGTTGCTTTGGGGACATTATAAGCAAGAACATGTAGTGCAATAAGAGTTTCAATAGTCGATGTGGCATTTATTCGCTGTCTTGCCAAAAAATGCCTACTGCCACAATTGTCAAACATGAGCTCGAGCGTCTTCTTGGGATCACAAGGAGCGATGAAGAATTTGACGCCATATTTGCTGACCTTGGCATGGAGCTAGACGAGGTCGTTATGCAGTCAGAGCGATTTCTGGAGGAGCAAGGACCAGTGAAGCATTATAGAGTGGATGTGACCGCAAATAGACCGGACATCCTCTCAGTTGAAGGAATGGCCGTTACACTGCAACCGTTCTTGGGCCTTGGTGAACCGTTGGGACTGTATGCCAGAGACAGCTCTGTCCAAATCAGGGTGGACGGTAAGGCAGTGGGCCCAGTACGCCCATATATCGTTTCGGCCATTGTACGTGGTGTTAACTTTACTCAGACAAGCTTTAACTCCTTCATTGACTACCAAGACAAGTTGCATCAGAACCTTTGCAGAAAGCGTACGCTTGTGGCCATTGGCACCCACGATTTGGATAAGATTGACACATCCTCCATAACGTATTCTGCACAGCCCCCTGAGGATATCGTTTTCCTGGCGCTATCTCAATCTGAAGTAATGGATGGAAGGTCACTATTTAAAGTTCTCGAAGGAGACCGTCAGCTATCATCGTACCTCCACATCATCAAGAATGAGCCTCTGTGGCCCGTCATTCGAGATGGTCGCGGAGAGGTCTTGTCTCTTCCTCCGATCATAAATAGCGAGTATTCCAAGGTCTCCTTGAGCACAACTAACGTTTTTATCGAGTGCACAGCAACAGATCTTAACAAGGCCTGTGCTACTTTAAACAACGTTATTAATTCTATCCGTATGCATACACGGAAGAAGAATCAGGTAGAGACAGTGACGATAGTATATGATAGTGTTACTAGCCAGCACACTCAGCTCCCCATCAACAAGCCACATGCAAAGGTCACCTATCCTCTCATCTCTTCTTACCAATTGGACTTAAGGCTTGCTAAATTGAGTGAGATATCGGGTATACCTCTGAACACCCTCAGTATTTCCATGGTCTGTTCCTACCTCAAAAGAATGTCCATACGAGCCGAGGTGGTGCAGGCAAAGTCAGACCTCGCAGACACTGTATTGAGGTGCCACGTTCCATTTTTCCGTCAAGACATTATTGCTGAAGCGGACCTAGTTGAAAACTTTTGTATCTCCTATGGATATAATGCCATTGCCGAAAAGTATGCTAAGCTTCCCAATACCATGACGCAGGGGTCTATCCTTCAAGAATTCCGACTTGGCGAAATAGTGAGATCTGAGGCTGTTGCGTGTGGATATATCGAGTTGGTCCTATTCTCACTTTGTCCTGCAGAGGATTCTATCTTCGGGGATCTTCCAGTGGAATTATCGAATACTAAGACGGCCATGTTTAGTCACACGCGTTCTTGCCTAGCTCCAGGCCTCTTGCGGGCTGTCTCAGCTCAGCAACATATCAGCTTGCCACTTAGACTTTTTGAGGTCTCTGAGGTTCTTGTCCCTAATGCCGATGCTAGAGATGACGTTGGAGTACATGCCGTGAAGAAGTTCTCATGCATTTATGGGGGCACTACTGATGGATTTGAGTTTGTGCACGGGTTTCTCGACCATCTCATGAGAAAGCTCGCGAAGAGTTTTAAGCTAATTGGAGAAGACCACCCAACTTGTCTTCCAGGGAGGCGGGCATCAATTGTAGTCGATGGCCATACACTAGGTTGGATAGGAGTCATTCATCCTAATACTCTACTCACCTACAAGGTACCAATCCCTTGCACTATTATGGAATTCTTCTTAAATTAATAGGGCTTTCTTACTTTACGAGCTACACGTCTGCATGATCAACAAACAACGACAGTAAACCGTTTGACATGTAGATAAATGATGTTCGCGACTAGGTTCGTGACTATAAAATTTACTCTAGCTGAGAGATGGCCACGAAGGTTGATGCGAAAATGCGGGCCAATCTTCATAGACTTATCGGCCACGGAGCGTTTGGGGCAGTATACTCGTTAAAGAACAACAACAAAGACGTGATAAAAGTGATTGACTTAGTTAAGCTCACTGACGATGTGCTGGCAATACTTCAAAGCGAAATCTCCATTCTACCAAAGATGAAGCACAGAAATATAATCGAATATAAGCAGATTGTACGTGGTGAGCGCTACCTCTACATCCGTATGACCTACTATCCAGAAACTCTCAGAGACATTATAACCTCTCACACATCTTCTGGTAAGTGCCTTAGCGACACTCAGATTCTTGACATAGCGCAGCAGCTCTCTGAAGCATTGGCTTACCTTCACAGCCCGACAAAGCGTGATAGTGATGGACGATTACTCCCGCCAATCATTCACAGAGACATCAAACCGGAAAACATATTAGTCAGTAAGGATCGAACAGCATATGTTTTAGCAGACTTTGGACTTTGCCGGGTTTTAGAACGAAATCAATATGCAAATACAACTGCTGGTACACCGTTTTATACGGCACCAGAGATCAGGCAGAAGAGGAAATATGACACCAAAGCAGACATGTGGAGTCTTGGGGCAGTTCTCTACGAGCTTGCTACCGGAGAGCGTCCTAATTTGCCTCTGCAGTGGAGACAAACAGATGCAGCAATGCACTGGAAGCGAGTATTCTCCAGGCTGAGAAATGATTACATTCGTGCCATTATCTCCCATCTCCTTATCTCAGATCAAGATGACCGTAGCACTGCCGCCGAGTTACTTCAGCTTCTAAAAGAGTTTGAAGGCAGCATTCTTTTGTGCCAGCAATCCACCTCTTCACATTCATCTACTTCTAGCCTAGGTGCTACCAACACAGCAGAAAGTCCATCCTTACCTATCTCATCCACTGCGTCGCATCAAGACGAACAAGATAATGTCATAATTGAAACAAGAACCACAGAGACAAACTCTAACAACCTCACAGAAGTGTATAAACGCATAGACAGACTGTCCGAACGACACCATAGTATGACGGGGCAGCTACTACAACTTGTGGAGCTGTGTCAGGAATTGCGAGCTGAAAATAAGGAGCTTAGAACGCAACTAAGCCAGTTAGGCATGGATATCAAGCGTGTAATTAGTGAGATTATTCCGATTGAAACACGCATCAATGAGCTAGCTCGCGAAAACGGCACTATCAAAAATCGCTTGTCTGACCAAGAGATCAAGCTCCATGAATTGGATATTGCTGTCAAGATACTAGAAGACACGTGCGACGAGCTAAGGCCGCCTAGCGCCCGCTTCAGGGGCACCGACAGCCTCAGTGGCCTAGAAAGTCAGTCAAGTGAAAATTCACTACCCGAGCTTGTTAAATGATCGGACATCACAGCTCTGCACCTGCTCCTCAAAGACTTCGACCACTTTCTCACAGAGATCATCGACAGAACAGATGTCATCGACTACCGTGCAGGCGATGACAAGGGCCTTGAGGCCGTAGCAAAGAGGCTGAAACTCAGACTCCCCCCAGTTGAGGCCGTCCATGGTCACCATCTTAGTCAGATTCTTCTGAACGTACTCCATGTCAGACTCGTCATCGTTGGGCTTGATCTCGAGGACAACCATGGACATCTCTGCCTTGGCGTTCTTCGGCTTCTTCTTGTTCTCAAGACTGGCCTGCAGCTTCTCCTTCTCTGCCTTCAGCTCCTCGTCGTCTGACTCGCTGTCGCTTCCGAAGAGATCTGCGTTGGAAGATTTCTTAGCCTCCGGCTTCTCCTCTGCCGGGGCGAAATCGCATATCTTCCCCTTGGCAGGGAGAGCAGCACGTTCAGCTTGGCTGAAAGACTTCATGTGGGACAGCCAGCGAAGAACGTGGTGCATCTCAGGCGCCACATCCATGCTGCACACGTGGGTGTACATGATGTGATCGTTGAGAGACGGTACAAAGCCCGCCATGTAGGCACGGGTCTCAAGGTGGCTGTTAAGCCTCGGAAGGTCCTCGAGAGAAATGGACTTGAACATAAGGTGCTGCAATTATTTCATTTAATTTACAAATATGAATTTAAATTATTAGCAAGGAAAAGACAAAGCCAAGACGGGAGCACTCGTAGGCCATCCTGCATCAGATGAGCGAGGTTACAGTGGTGATTCGAGGAAAAAATGTCTCTGTCACGCTTCCGGCAGATGTAGAACCGGTGATGTTTTCTTCCATGTTAAAGGTGTATAAGCCATTCCGCGAATGGTGCGAAGAGATTGATGAAAACCTTGATGTCCGGGGTTTGACTGTCCAGAGCGTGGATTACTTCGGAGCTAGGATTGGCTTTTTGAAGTTTTCTGCGGAGGCGTACTCCAAGATTCACGGCCAGCGGGTGCCCGGGATCGTTTTCATGCGGGGAGGGTCTGTTGGCGTCCTTCCTGTGCTCATTGACGAGAAAACTGCAGAAAAGTACATTGTCCTCACCGAACAGGCACGGGTTCCCGTTGGAAAGGCGTCATTCTTGGAGATCCCCGCGGGAATGCTCGATGAGAATGGAGATGTGGTCGGCGTGGCTGTCCAAGAGATGGCAGAGGAGACCGGCATCTCACTGAAGCGGTCCGACCTTTGTAGCTTAGGTTCATACTACACTTCTCCGGGGGGCAGCGACGAGCTTCTATCTCTATACTACACGGAGAAGTCGGTTTCCAAAGACTTCCTTGAGAATCTGGCGGGAAGACTCACCGGAGTCGGACCACACGAACGCATCATCGTTCGCCTTACTAAGCTAGCCGGGTCGCTGGAGAAGCTCACAGATGGCAAGTCGCTTCTGGCAATTCTGCTTTACGATCGCTTGAAGGGTTCCCAGGGTGGCGCTTTTGCCTCGCACTCGTAGACTGAGTTGAGGGCGGCGGGGTTTTATGATACTCGACGTAAATGCTTACTGAGGGTATTTGTTCTCTTGGCGACTTACGATCGTCCCTACCTATATCGCCTATGTTAAGTTAGACCACAAATCTGGAAGGCCTGGGTTGGTACCTTCGCCAAGTCGGACATGTGAAAAGGAGGGTTGTGCGTTAATGTGGTGCATGGACAGGCGATTGCGTCCGCGGCTATTACTTACATAGCCCCGTGTCGCCACCAGGCTACCTTTGGCCCAATGTTCGATAAGCTCATCTTTGTAAGCTTGGCCCTGCAATTAGCTTGGGCGTCGCAAACAGCAAGTAGAGCAAAGGCAAGCCCAGCCTCGTGCAACCCCCAGAGCCCGGACGCGACAAGCTGCGCCCCTGACAGCTGCAACGTGGTGATTGAGGGCCAGACCTTCTGTTCCAAATGCACGGGAGGCAAGGTCCCGGTGAACGGAGAGTGCAAGGCGAAGGGGGACGCGCCCCTGTGCACGGCCGGTGCGAACGCCCAGGAAGGAACCTGCACGGCCTGCACGGGCGCGCAGAGGCTCTACATGGGCGGATGCTACGATAAGTGCCCGTACGGCAACGGGGCGGACGCGAACACCTGTGCGGACGCGCCTGCTGGCCCAGCCTCGTGCAACCCCCAGAGCCCGGACGCGACAAGCTGCGCCCCTGACAGCTGCAACGTGGTGATTGAGGGCCAGACCTTCTGTTCCAAATGCACGGGAGGCAAGGTCCCGGTGAACGGAGAGTGCAAGGCGAAGGGGGACGCGCCCCTGTGCACGGCCGGTGCGAACGCCCAGGAAGGAACCTGCACGGCCTGCACGGGCGCGCAGAGGCTCTACATGGGCGGATGCTACGATAAGTGCCCGTACGGCAACGGGGCGGACGCGAACACCTGTGCGGACGCGCCTGCTGGCCCAGCCTCGTGCAACCCCCAGAGCCCGGACGCGACAAGCTGCGCCCCTGACAGCTGCAACGTGGTGATTGAGGGCCAGACCTTCTGTTCCAAATGCACGGGAGGCAAGGTCCCGGTGAACGGAGAGTGCAAGGCGAAGGGGGACGCGCCCCTGTGCACGGCCGGTGCGAACGCCCAGGAAGGAACCTGCACGGCCTGCACGGGCGCGCAGAGGCTCTACATGGGCGGATGCTACGATAAGTGCCCGTACGGCAACGGGGCGGACGCGAACACCTGTGCGGACGCGCCTGCTGGCCCAGCCTCGTGCAACCCCCAGAGCCCGGACGCGACAAGCTGCGCCCCTGACAGCTGCAACGTGGTGATTGAGGGCCAGACCTTCTGTTCCAAATGCACGGGAGGCAAGGTCCCGGTGAACGGAGAGTGCAAGGCGAAGGGGGACGCGCCCCTGTGCACGGCCGGTGCGAACGCCCAGGAAGGAACCTGCACGGCCTGCACGGGCGCGCAGAGGCTCTACATGGGCGGATGCTACGATAAGTGCCCGTACGGCAACGGGGCGGACGCGAACACCTGTGCGGACGCGCCTGCTGGCCCAGCCTCGTGCAACCCCCAGAGCCCGGACGCGACAAGCTGCGCCCCTGACAGCTGCAACGTGGTGATTGAGGGCCAGACCTTCTGTTCCAAATGCACGGGAGGCAAGGTCCCGGTGAACGGAGAGTGCAAGGCGAAGGGGGACGCGCCCCTGTGCACGGCCGGTGCGAACGCCCAGGAAGGAACCTGCACGGCCTGCACGGGCGCGCAGAGGCTCTACATGGGCGGATGCTACGATAAGTGCCCGTACGGCAACGGGGCGGACGCGAACACCTGTGCGGACGCGCCTGCTGGCCCAGCCTCGTGCAACCCCCAGAGCCCGGACGCGACAAGCTGCGCCCCTGACAGCTGCAACGTGGTGATTGAGGGCCAGACCTTCTGTTCCAAATGCACGGGAGGCAAGGTCCCGGTGAACGGAGAGTGCAAGGCGAAGGGGGACGCGCCCCTGTGCACGGCCGGTGCGAACGCCCAGGAAGGAACCTGCACGGCCTGCACGGGCGCGCAGAGGCTCTACATGGGCGGATGCTACGATAAGTGCCCGTACGGCAACGGGGCGGACGCGAACACCTGTGCGGACGCGCCTGCTGGCCCAGCCTCGTGCAACCCCCAGAGCCCGGACGCGACAAGCTGCGCCCCTGACAGCTGCAACGTGGTGATTGAGGGCCAGACCTTCTGTTCCAAATGCACGGGAGGCAAGGTCCCGGTGAACGGAGAGTGCAAGGCGAAGGGGGACGCGCCCCTGTGCACGGCCGGTGCGAACGCCCAGGAAGGAACCTGCACGGCCTGCACGGGCGCGCAGAGGCTCTACATGGGCGGATGCTACGATAAGTGCCCGTACGGCAACGGGGCGGACGCGAACACCTGTGCGGACGCGCCTGCTGGCCCAGCCTCGTGCAACCCCCAGAGCCCGGACGCGACAAGCTGCGCCCCTGACAGCTGCAACGTGGTGATTGAGGGCCAGACCTTCTGTTCCAAATGCACGGGAGGCAAGGTCCCGGTGAACGGAGAGTGCAAGGCGAAGGGGGACGCGCCCCTGTGCACGGCCGGTGCGAACGCCCAGGAAGGAACCTGCACGGCCTGCACGGGCGCGCAGAGGCTCTACATGGGCGGATGCTACGATAAGTGCCCGTACGGCAACGGGGCGGACGCGAACACCTGTGCGGACGCGCCTGCTGGCCCAGCCTCGTGCAACCCCCAGAGCCCGGACGCGACAAGCTGCGCCCCTGACAGCTGCAACGTGGTGATTGAGGGCCAGACCTTCTGTTCCAAATGCACGGGAGGCAAGGTCCCGGTGAACGGAGAGTGCAAGGCGAAGGGGGACGCGCCCCTGTGCACGGCCGGTGCGAACGCCCAGGAAGGAACCTGCACGGCCTGCACGGGCGCGCAGAGGCTCTACATGGGCGGATGCTACGATAAGTGCCCGTACGGCAACGGGGCGGACGCGAACACCTGTGCGGACGCGCCTGCTGGCCCAGCCTCGTGCAACCCCCAGAGCCCGGACGCGACAAGCTGCGCCCCTGACAGCTGCAACGTGGTGATTGAGGGCCAGACCTTCTGTTCCAAATGCACGGGAGGCAAGGTCCCGGTGAACGGAGAGTGCAAGGCGAAGGGGGACGCGCCCCTGTGCACGGCCGGTGCGAACGCCCAGGAAGGAACCTGCACGGCCTGCACGGGCGCGCAGAGGCTCTACATGGGCGGATGCTACGATAAGTGCCCGTACGGCAACGGGGCGGACGCGAACACCTGTGCGGACGCGCCTGCTGGCCCAGCCTCGTGCAACCCCCAGAGCCCGGACGCGACAAGCTGCGCCCCTGACAGCTGCAACGTGGTGATTGAGGGCCAGACCTTCTGTTCCAAATGCACGGGAGGCAAGGTCCCGGTGAACGGAGAGTGCAAGGCGAAGGGGGACGCGCCCCTGTGCACGGCCGGTGCGAACGCCCAGGAAGGAACCTGCACGGCCTGCACGGGCGCGCAGAGGCTCTACATGGGCGGATGCTACGATAAGTGCCCGTACGGCAACGGGGCGGACGCGAACACCTGTGCGGACGCGCCTGCTGGCCCAGCCTCGTGCAACCCCCAGAGCCCGGACGCGACAAGCTGCGCCCCTGACAGCTGCAACGTGGTGATTGAGGGCCAGACCTTCTGTTCCAAATGCACGGGAGGCAAGGTCCCGGTGAACGGAGAGTGCAAGGCGAAGGGGGACGCGCCCCTGTGCACGGCCGGTGCGAACGCCCAGGAAGGAACCTGCACGGCCTGCACGGGCGCGCAGAGGCTCTACATGGGCGGATGCTACGATAAGTGCCCGTACGGCAACGGGGCGGACACGAACACCTGTGCGGACGCGCCTGCTGGCCCAGCCTCGTGCAACCCCCAGAGCCCGGACGCGACAAGCTGCGCCCCTGACAGCTGCAACGTGGTGATTGAGGGCCAGACCTTCTGTTCCAAATGCACGGGAGGCAAGGTCCCGGTGAACGGAGAGTGCAAGGCGAAGGGGGACGCGCCCCTGTGCACGGCCGGTGCGAACGCCCAGGAAGGAACCTGCGCGGCCTGCACGGGCGCGCAGAGGCTCTACATGGGCGGATGCTACGATAAGTGCCCGTACGGCAACGGGGCGGACGCGAACACCTGTGCGGACGCGCCTGCTGGCTGCAATACTCCCAACTGCAAGGCCTGCGATAACCCGAAGACCGACAACGAGGTCTGCACTGAATGTAATGACGGCAACTACCTCACCCCAACCAGTCAATGCGTATCTGACTGCACGACCCTCAAGGGCTACTACGGAGACGATAGTGGCAAAAAGACCTGCAAGAAGTGCAACGACGCGTGCGCAGAGTGCAAGGGTGCTGATGCTAATCAGTGCACAGCCTGTCCGGCTGGGAAGATGCTTCAGTATACAGATGAGAACAGTCCATCAAGTGGTACTTGCGTGGACGGGTGCAAGCCCCAGAGTGGAGCTAGCGGATGCGAGATCTGCGGAGCCACCATCGGAGGGACAAAGTATTGCTCGAAGTGCAGCACATCCACGGAGGTCCCCGTCAACGGAGTTTGCAAGGCAGACAATGCCCGCGCGCCCGTATGCTCGAAAAAGGACAATCAGGGAGGCTGCGCTACGTGTGCCAGTGGGTACTTCCGTCAGGACAACGGCTGCTATAAGACTGACAGACAACCTGGCATACAGATATGCACGCTAGCCAGTAGCGCTGGTAAGTGTGAAACGTGCGCCAATAGTCTTCAGCCCAATGATGGAGCATGCCCTTCGTGTCACTCGACCTGCAAGACATGTTCAGCTGCAGATAGCTCTGATAAGTGTACGTCATGCGCAGCTGGGTACTATATGGTCGGATCAGCAGCTGGACCATGCACTTCGTGTGACAGCAACAGTGGAAGTGTCAAGGGAGTTGCTGGCTGCTTAAACTGCGCTCCTCCATCGTCTAGTACTGGCTCCGTTCTCTGCTACCTCATGAACGGTGACAGTGCCGGCGGAAGCACGAACAAGAGCGGCCTTTCCACTGGTGCCATCGCGGGTATCTCCGTCGCCGTGATCGTTGTCGTCGGAGGGCTTGTCGGCTTCCTCTGCTGGTGGTTCCTCTGTAGAGGCAAAGCGTAGATACTTAGCTGTGTACTTAGGTAGTAAACGCGTTACTGTGCGTAGCTTGTGTAGATGTGCTGATAGGTCCGCCTGATGGTGTGTCCAAAAGTCTCACGAGTAAATTTTCGTTCAAGTCCTGGCCGTCCGGAGGCAAGAGTTGGTCGTGGATAACATAATGAGAGAGTCCTCTCCGGTGATGCATCTAGAGTCTGGTGCGCTCCTCTACTGTTTCGCGGGTGTGTGCTCAGTCTGAGTATGCACGTCGGTCTGCCTTGGATTCAGGCCTTCTTGTAGACTCTCCGCTCTACCCGTGGCGCCTCTCCTTGGTCTGCCGTCCTGGTGGGTGAGGCTCTGGTCGCCGTCTTTTTTAGATGCTCCCGTCTGCCAGGGGCTGCCACCGGGCTCTCCGCTGGCTGGGCCCTCGGTGTCCGGGCAGCTGTGGTCCTGGGCAGTGGTCCCACAGTCGCGGTCGCTTGGGTCCCAGCGGGCCGGCTGGTGGGGATGCGGGGGCTGGAGGGGACCGGGGGGTGTTCGTATGTGCCCCTGGGTCCGGTGGGCTGGGGTGATTGCAGCTGTGGTGACTGGAGGCTGTCCCCTTGTGACTCATCCCTCTGTGAACTCGTGGTCTGTGAGTGCCTCCACCCAGACAACCCTCAGGAGCCGTGCACACCGGGACAGAGAGGGTGACCAAGGGGAGTCAGGCAGCCCTGCCATGAGAGATGAGGGTGCACAGCAACCAGCCTGAGCTGTAGAGTCTGCTCGAGCGATGGTAGTGGCAGACGACTCCCTCTGACAGCAGCCCTGGCGACTGCACTGGTCTGCTCTCGAGACTGGGTGACAGTGCACACAGATGGACATGAGTGCAGGAGGACCATCCACACACGGACAGACTGTGTGGACCCAGAGAGGACTGGAGTCTACTCGGGACACGCTGACTGTGCCCCATACGAGAGCACCAGGCAACCACCCGAGCACCGAGAGGCAGTGACAGACACGGGCACTAGAGATCCCCAGCCAGACACATTGCCATGCTCATCCACAGGGGCATCAGAGGGCCAGGTGGAGTCACCCTCACAACCAGGGCCTGATAGGAAGCCAGAGGACTCAAACACTACAGCACAGCAGGCCCAAGGGAGGCACACTCCAGGCAGGTGAGCAGTGGCAGAGCCTTGACAGCTGCCAACCCCCCATGACACCCAGGCAGGCACCAGACTCACCGAAGACTCCGCTGGCCTCCACCGATGACCCGAGGGGGCAGCAGCCAGAGGAGCGAGGAGGCCTTCGGATGCCACAAGAGGCCCGGCTGTCCAGCAGGCGATGGAGCATAGGTGACCTCTGAGCACTATACAGGCACAGGGCTGACCATCAGAGTGATGCCCGATCACAGAGACGACCACGAGCACCCTCCACCGCACTCTGGGGCCGTCAATCATCCCACTGCCTCTCATAGCAGACCTCCTTGAGGGCAGTGCAGTGGGTCCCAGCTCATGCAGGAGGGTGCACGCCTCCCCTGGCATAGGACACCCCGGCTCTCCTCGAGGGGTCATCAGAGCCACGAGAGGTGGCAAGGTCCTGTGACACATCGGGAACTCCCAAGAGGACACAGCAGGTGAGGTATGGGTGACCCTCAGTGTGCTCCTCTCTGCATGGTAGAGCATCCTGAGACCAAGGAGGATCAGCCTGCCTATGAACAACACACAGCACTCCACAACGAGGACCCACCAGGAGCAGCACAGTTGGTCACGGGGACCCTCCAGTCACCAGTGCCCCACCGTGCCAGTCTTCTGGGCCATCACACTAGAGGCATGAGAGAACTCATCCCATCCACAGGATCATCCATGCCCCTGCTGGCCCGAGGTGAACTGCACCCATCGAGGCACTGGACAGGGCATACCAGGGGCCTAGCAGACCCGCACAGAGCATCAGGAGGGGCTGCGATGGCCTGCCTCAACCCTCACGCACCAGCCAGACAGAGAGGCAATACTGCCTGGGACATGCAGAGGCCAAGGGAGGCACTCAGTCAGGGGGACACAACACGATCGTCGGTGTCTGTGTCTCAGGAGTGCAACGAAGGCTGGGGATCAGACACAGCCACCTTGGCAAATAGAGTGGGGATCACCCACCGCCACACTGGCCCATCAGACCCAGAGGCACATACGACACAGCCCACCTCAGCCCCCACCAGTCCTCACCCACCACCCGCCTCACCCACCAGCCGGACCCGCTATGGGACCCAAGCGACCGCGACTGTGGGACCACTGCCCAGGACCACAGCTGACTGGACACCGAGGGCCCAGCCAGCGGAGAGCCCGGTGGCAGCCCCTGGCAGACGGGGCATCTAAAAAAGGACAGTGACCAGAGCCTCACCCACCAAGGCGGCAGACCAAGGAGAGGCGCCACTGGTGGACGACGCAGATGGGTAAGTAAGCTGAACCCCGAAAGGGCCGACACACACTCTCAGCCTGAGCACACGCCCGCGAAACGGCAGAGGAGCGCACCAGGCTCTGGATATATCAATGGAGAGGATTCTCTCGTTATATCATCAACGACCAACCCTCGTCTCCGGACATCGCCAAAAATTGAGCGACAATTTACCTGTGAGGTCCTTGAGTACGCCCACAGGTAGGTTCCAGCAGCACAGCACTGGGCATAGCCAGGGGTAAAGTGAATCATTATCATTTACGTTTATTCATGTATGCGACTGCCACGGACTGGGGCTAATTCGGAAGGGAAGGGGTCCTGCTTGCTGTGGGCAGAACAACAGAGCGCTTGGACAGGAGTTCATCTGCCGTCAAGGCGCGAGCTGGCGCATCCTCTGATTGAGTGGTTTTAGTTTGGGGAATGACGGCTGTTGACTTCCTGATGAGCGTCCTCTTGGTAAGCTCCGCCTCGCCCAGATACTCGCTTTCCCGGGTCTCCGGAAGTAGGTATGCATCTGGAATATAGTGCTTTTTGCTGCGCCTGTACTGCTTGAACTCAGCCCCCCCAAAGACGAATGGATGCATCCAGCATGAGGAAGTTGTTGGGTTGGGCCTTGAAGTCATGCATGTCGTACACCTTCGAGAGGAAGGCCAGCAACTTCGGAGAGGGTCGATCAAAAACCCAGCCCTGAGCGGAGATATGCGTGTGAAGCCCCATGGCGCGGAAGAGCCGTGTTCCGATCCCTCGGCGCTGCACCGTCTCATGGGTGTAGAAGTCCAGGCAACACATCGCGTCCATCTCGCGGGTCTCGCTCTGGCTGTCGAGCATAAAGAGATGCTTGATGCCTCCCTTCAGGATCCCGAGGCACTGGTCCTCATCGACAGCTAAGAACAAGAAGTGGTGGGAATCGCGAATGAATGCCAGGCTAGTTACAAGGCTGGGAGACCCTGTGCTACATGAAAATCGCCCTACACGCTGTCCAAGACGGTTTTGATCTTCTTCTACTGCCTGAGAGGCATACTTCTTAGTGACTGATTTGTAAGGAGGACCGCCGGAGTCCGAAGGCCTCTGCAACGTTAAATCCAAACTGCATGCTCGAGGCTCGACACACAAATCTGGACTGCCTATTTCCTTTGCAAGAATCGATAAAAACGTCATAAACGCTGAGAAAGCCGAAATGTAGTGTAAGTAGAAATCTAAGGGTTGATGGTCATAAATCGAGCAATTCTACGCAGCATACCGTAGGGAGATAATATGGTGGTTTCTGCGATGTGAGCTGAAACGCCGATTGGACCTACCTGCAATCTTAAGAGGAAATCTCAGAATTGTTCTCTACAAACAACTGCCCACAAGAATTACAGACAGAGGTGTGGCGTATACTTTACTGACAAAAGTCCTAGTTCTGTACTTTTGCAGTATGTAGTTTATTATATTCCGTTGGTTTATATTTAAATGCTTGCGGTCCTTGGTCTGCTGATCGCCTTTCAAGCAGCGAAGTGTACACACTCCAACCAGGTCAGCGATTGCGCAGAGGACCGTTGCGAGGAGATCAACGGCCACGAGCTGTGCACAGAGTGTAGGAATGCTGGCTACATACCCTTCAACGGACACTGCATTAAGTATGATAGCGAGCAACACTCTTCATGCAAGAGTGCAGATGGTACACCCATTGTAAGCGAAAAGAGGTGCGGGATGTGTACAGACTCCATGTATCTATACAAAGGAGGCTGCTACGCGTGCGGTAATCTTTACCCCGGGAACCTTATATGTAGCGAGTGCGATAAAGGAGTTTGCAAGTCTTGTACGTCTGGTTTCTTTAGGAACCCTGCAGCGTCGCAAACAGTCGATTCGTGTGTTCGGTGTGATGACACAACAGGAGTGGCGGACTTTGTAGGAGTTGCCGGTTGCCTGCATTGCCTCTCGCCGTCTAAGTCTAAGGGTCCTGACGTGGCCCTATGTGTCAAGTGTAAGCTCTCGACACACAAGCCTAATCCGAACGGAGACATTTGCTACAGATGCGAGATCCCAGACTGCCCTAGGTGTGCGGCTGATGATTCGTGTGCAGTTTGTGGTCGCGGGTATCTTAAGGGAACAACCAAGCGTGTTTGCGTCTCTCAGTGTGGAGTTGGCTTCTACGTAGCCCCTACTCAGCTGCGACAATGCAAAAAATGCTCTGGTGCGTGTCAAACCTGCGAAGGACCTAATGAAACAGATTGCACCTCTTGCAATGAATCGGAGGGCTATTTTCTGGCAGCAGAGAATGGAACGGGGAGGTGTGTTTCCTGTGGAGACGAGCAGGGACACGCTGGATGGAAAGGAGTAGCAAATTGCAAGGCTTGCACTCGTCCCAGTACCCCCGGGGTGGTTGAGTGCACAGAGTGCGAGTCGAACCGTTTACTTATTGATGGACAATGCAGGAAAGAATGTGATGATCCATCTGAGTATTGTGAGGCAGACGCCTGTGACGTCGTTTGGAGGAATGAGCTTCTCTGCTCTCGCTGCAAAGAAGGACATGCGCCCCTCAACGGTATGTGTTCCGAACTCACGCCCAATAACCGACGCGCCTGCATTGCCAGCAAAGGACGCTGCGAAAAGTG